GTCGCATCATCTGATGCAGCAAGTGCAGCTCGTAGCGAGTCAGACATTACAAGCAGCACCGTAGTATAAATGCTCGTGCACTGGGAGATTTCTTTGAGGAGCTACTAAATTTTCATTAATAAATTCTTTGATTGACATCTTCGCTTTTTTAATGTTGTAAATGGAAAATACGTATGGTCGAATTTATTTAAGAGTTCCGTGTACCTGTCAAAGGTGCTCGATTAAATCGTCGCGGAGACGCACATGGGCACGTGCGTTCCGTAGCTTCGAAGTGTGGACAATCAATTGCTCGATAGTGTCGTGACCCGAAGCACGAGCCGGTCGCGATACTGTAAATTCCGGAAGTCCCCCAGGCTGATTACGAACATCAAATAGAAAGTCGATTCGATCTGAATCCCGTAAGTGACGCTCATCTTCCACAATCATGTTGTGCATGATGATGCATGCATGCATCACTTTGTCCATTTTGGCAGTGCTCCAAAGTTCACATGGCGTATCTAGAATCCTCCACCGCGCTTGAATCACCCCGAAGGTCCGTTCTACATCTTTCCGACAATCTTCTTGATACTTTGAGTAATTCTTGCGCTTTTTATCTATCGGCTTCTCGATTGACTTTACAAATACCGACCATTCAGGATAAATTCCATCCGCCAGCATATAGGGTGTATCATAAGAGTTGCCTTCAAGGTAACATTTTGAATTAGTTTTTTTTTTCGCTCACAATACGAATATTTTACACATACCATTGACAGTATACGTGACTTGCAGTGCTTCGCCTCGAAGCATGCTGTCAAAGAGAGGGGACCGCTCTAAAATATTAATGTCGTTCAACGAACCAGGAGAACCGAAATTGTAATGCCAAATTCGCAAGTCATAGTCCGCGACTGCCTCAAGGACTTTTGTAGGCTTCTTTTCCTTTCCTTTGTGTTGGCCAGCCAGCGACATTGGGCAATTCTTCCATACCCAATGCATACAGTCGATCGAACCGACCATTCCAGGAAAGCCACGACGTTCGTTCTGTTTAAGAAGACGTTCTAGTTCCTCCTTACGTGGTGGACGCAAAAACTCATCACCGAAAACAGCAATAACTTCATCACAAAAGTGATCGATGCACTGACTGACTGTAGGTCCAGCAATCTCTAAATTTTCATCAATAGCATCAAAAGATGAAGAGTATGCAAGAACTCTTAGCGCGGCCGTGATCTTCAGGAAAGTGAATATTCCCACTAGACCCGCTGCATTTCGTTTCTGAACAAAGTAAGTGTCGTGATTCGTTACACTATGTGCAATATGAGAAAAGAAGCGTCTTGACATTCGATAGCGCCTGCGGAAAACAGCCTCTTCAAATATGGGGTCAGGGCCAAAGTATTGTTGGAGCAATCGAGTGTGCCGCCCATGCCAGTCGCGGCGCTTGTTTGGAGAGCGTCCTGGCACCGATCCACCGTGTTTACGTTTTATATTTGCTCCTGGTGGCCGTAGTAGATACAGTATATCGAATAAAGCTTCTTCTTCCTCGTCCTCTTCAAGCAGAGCTTGTACGCATTGCATT